GCCTCAGAACGAGCCAAAGCCTCCCTTTAGGACAGCAGCAGCAACTGCAGCAGCAGCAACTGCAACAGAAGCAACAGCAGCAGCAGCAACAACCGCAGCAGCAACTGCTGCAGAAGCAACAACCGCAGCAGCAACTGCTGCAGCATGAGTGGTCGGGCATGAAGCAAGAGAGTCAGCAGCAGCAGCAACAGCAGCAGGAGCAGCAACAGCAGCAGCAATAACAGCAGCAGCAGCAACTGCAGCAGCAGCAGCACGAGCTACATTATTTATACTGCAAGGACATCTCCGGCTGCAGCAGCAGCAACGGTGGCAGCAGCATGTTGCCGCCAGCAGCAGCAGCAGCAGCAGCAGTAGCAACAGCAGCAGCAGCAGCAGCAGCCTGTTGACTGCAGCGGCAGCTGCAGCAGCTTCTTTTGACAGCAGCAGCAGCAGCAGCAGCAGTAACGCAGCAGCAGCAGCAACCGCAGTAACAGCAACAGCAGCAGCAGGAGAAGCAGCGGCAATCTGCTGTCTGCTGCTCTAGCAGCAGCAGCAGCAGCAGCTGCAGCAGCAGCAGCAGCAGCATGTTGCGTGGTGTTGCTCACTTTGAATTTTGTGAGACATTTCCGCTGTATTTGCTGCAGCGCAGCAGCAGCAGGTCTCCGAGTGTAGACAACGCAGCAGCAGCAGCAGCAGCAGCTCCTGCTGCTGCTGCTGCTGCTGCTGGTGTTGGTGAGGATGAACAGCAACAAAAGAGCAGCAGCAGCAGCAGCAGCAGAAATGAAGGTGCTGCTGCTGCAGCAACATGTGTTGCTGCTGTTGATAGCCTCGTTGCTGTTGGCAGCAGCGAGGGAGTAGTGCTGCTGCTGAGGTAATTTGCTGCTGCTGCTGCTGCTGCTGCTGCTGCTGTTGCTGCTGCTGCTGCTGCTGTTGGAGCTGCAGCAGCAGCAGCAGCTGCTGCTGCTGCTGTTGCTGTTGCTGCTGGCGTTCATGTTGTTCCTGTTGGTGCTGCCTGCTGTTGCTGGTGCTGCTGTTGCTGCTGCTGTTGCTGCTGCTGTTGCTGCTGGTGCTGCTGTTGCTGCTCCTGCTGCTGCTGCTGTTGCTGTTCTTGCTGTTGCTTCTGAGTTGTCTATCTTCTGTTGCTGCTGAAGCTGCAGCAACCACAGACTGCTGCTGCTGTTGTACTCACTTACAGTTCGTGTGTTTTG